TGAGTTTCTGCGGAGCATAGTGCCTTAGTGCTCACGCCCCACATTTTCATGATTTTCAGGTCGCAGGGTCGGGGACGAGGAGTGAGCGGGCGAGCTGTTCAGGATATTTTTTGTGTTTAATGTAGTTGATGTTGAACGCTAAAACTTTTCAGAACTTTTATCAGACTTTTATGATTTTGCCACGCTAGACTTCCGCTAAAAACTTTCAGACTTGCTCCGACGTGAGTCGGATAATAAATTATAACCGTTTTATGTATCAGTTTTAAATTCTAACGGTTTTCAGAAGTTATGTTTTTTTCACGGTAACCCCCGAATCAGTTTCGCAAATTAAGAAGTTAGTTTATTTATTTATTTATTCAGAAAATTTGCGAAAAACCGCGTACTCTGATGTAAGAGAAAGTCGGGGTGTTACAATACCCTTGCTCATGACGAGGCAGCCAACAACGCAGTGTTGGAACCCATGAGGATCTCGATATGCACAAATCACGGACAAACATTCAACATAAACCTATGCGTAGCGGATCTAAAGGTTTGATGTAGAAAACTTACGGCTTGAAATTTATGTAGATCTGGCTGGCCCAAACAGATGACCGCAAATCAAATCTTCTCGGAATCGAACGAACTTGACCAATCTAGAAAGCTGGCGTCACGGCAAAGTCAACGGTGTTGACCGGTCAGAAAACGGAGTGTCCACGCGCTCTCACGCGTGCGTGTGAGTCCCAGCAGCAGCGAACTTCCGGCGGCGCGTGTGGGCGCGTGCAGCGGCGATCTCAACGGCGATCTCTCCGACTCGTCGTCCTGGTCGTCGTGGTATGGTCACTTGCTGGTTTTGGTCTCCGGTTTGGATGGATGATAGATTTTATTGGAATCCCGTATATACCTTAAGATCTTCTACTGTATTCTCAAACAGCTATCTAGATCTTGTATCAGTGGAGCACAAGAAATAGAACAACTCCTTGGAAGAGAGAGAGAGAGGGGGCGGACTATTTTTTCCAAGTTGTGGGATTCTCTCCTCTTCCATTAGCCTAATGCTGTATATATAGAGCTACAGTAGGGATCCTAAGGAGAATAGGATAAGGGCTTCTAATATATCAATACTGTGGAGCAACCCCACAATTAATATATAAATAATATTAAAGTCCACCATAATAATATTATTGCACTCCCTTTACCTATCCCAAATTACATTTGAGACTCCTTATTATAATTATCCGATTTACCTCCCCATGTTTAAGATATAATGTCCATTAATTAATTCGATCACTAATAATCAAGAATTAATTAATATATTATATTACCGAAGCTAACGCTCGCTCATAGCATTCATATTATGCCGGAATAAATCCACCTGCAGGGTTTAGCATAACATTCCTTCATGAACTCACTTCGGGGACATCATCAGACTAACGCACATGGTGACCGTAAATATCCTAATAGCACATCGAACACATAATGTCTCACCCAAAGAATAAAAGCAACAACAATTATGTGCACACGCGTATTTAATATCTTACGGGTTAAGAGCACACAATAATTAACTGAGGCCTTCCCTCTCTGGGATCATGTTCAATACATAAATGTACTAGTGCAACTAATCGGTCAAGACAAACCGTACGGTTGACACTACAACCGTTCCGATGGGTTGTTCAATTCCATCTAGGTTGTGAACCAATGATTCTTGTTTCGCAAGTAACTGATATAGTGATCTTCGGTACGCCCGATGACGACCCACTTTTCTACATGCAAAACAACAGAACGTGGAACTTATTTAACCAAACATAATTCTCATCCATCAAGAAATAACAAGTGTAATATCCACTAAAGCAAAGCTTAAGTATATAACACCAACAATCTCCCACTTATACTTAAAGTTGTCGCTTTACTAGTATAGTCCTATCAATCCGTATCCTAAAAGACCTATGTCGATCCTATCACCATACATTTGACTCCCATTCCCTCTACGTGTTTGGCGAAGACCTTCTCCGGCAAACTCTTTGTAAAAGGATTAGCTAGGTTGTCTTCTGATGCAATCTTGGTGATCTCAACTTCTCCTCTTGCCACAATATCTCTGATAAGGTGGTATTTGCGCTCTATGTGTTTGCTTGCTCTATGGGCTCGTGGTTCCCTTGAGTTTGCTACTGCACCACTGTTATCACAGTACACGATAATAACACGTGGCAAACTCGGAATCACTTCTAAGTCCACCAAGAAGTTTCTGAGCCTAACTGCCTCTTTCGCTGCCTCAGAGGCTGCGATGTACTCGGCTTCCATAGTGGAGTCTGCTACTCACTTCTGCTTAACACTCCTCCATGAAATGGCTCCACCTCCCAAGGTAAACACATAACCTGAGGTTGACTTACTCTCGTCCCTATCTGACTGAAAATCAGAATCGCTGTAATCTAGCGGAAACAAACTGTCTGCACGGTAAACTAACATGAACTCCTTAGTCCTTCGCAGGTACTTGAGTATATGTTTCACCGCAGCCCAATGTTCCCTTCCTCGATTACTTTGATATCTCGCTACCATGCCAACGGCGTAGCTAATATCAGGCCTAGTGCACAGCATTGCATACATGAGACTTCCTACTGCCGAAGCATAAGGAACTGTTTTCATGTCTTCTATCTCCTCAGTCGTCTTAGGAGACAACTCCTTAGATAAAGGTACTCCATGTCTGAATGATAATGTACCTCTCTTAGAGTTCTGCATACTGAATCTGGCCAAGACAGTATCTATATATGAAGACTGGGATAAGCACATCATTCTTTTCTCACGATCACGAATGATCTTGATACCAAGAATGTGTCCTGCTTCACCCAAGTCCTTCATATCAAACTGCTTAGATAACCACGCCTTTACGTCCGACAAATCCTTCTTGTTGTTGCCAATAAGAAGTATGTCATCCACGTATAGCACAAGAAACACCACCACGCTTCCACTAATCTTCTTGTATACACAGTGCTCATCCGAACATTGGGTGAATCCATATGACTGGATTACCTCATCAAACCGAATATTCTAAGACCTTGAAGCTTGCTTCAGTCCATAATTGGACCGATTAAGCTTACAAACTAAGCGCTCATGCCCTCTTGCAATGAATCCTTCTGGTTGCTGCATATAGATGTCTTCCTGAAGGTTTCCATTAAGGAAAGCCGTCTTAACATCCATCTGCCAGACTTCATAATCCATATGAGTGGCTACAGCTAAGAGAATCCAAATGGATTTAAGCATAGCTACTGGCGAAAAGGTTTTATCATAATCGATACCCTCTTCTGGGTATAACCTTTCACAACAAGCCTAGCTTTAAAGGTTTCCACCTTTCCATCCGATCTTCTCTTTCTCTTGTAAACCCACTTGCATCCAATGGGACGTATCCCATCGGGTGGTTCTACAAGATCCCAGACCTGATTGGTGTCCATAGACCCCATCTCAGCTTTCATTGCAACCTTCCACGAATTTGCATCTCTATCTTGGAGTGCCTCGTCATAAGTTCTTGGGTCCGATTCTAGGTCTCCTGGAACTGAGTCTGATGACTCTCCAAGACCTATCCATCGGTTGGGTTGTGTAGAAACCCTCCCACTACGACGAGGTACCGTCTGTACTAGCACATTATCAGTGTTACGTGTTGCAGTACTATGTGATGTATCTACTTGCGCACTCGGTGGGGAACTATCGATATCTCTCCCTAACTCCTCTAGGACAAGTTTACTACTGGGCTTATGACCTATGATATAGTCTTCTTCCAAGAATCTAGCGTTCGTACTAACGATCACCTTCTGATCCTCAGGACTATAATATAAACCACCTTTCGTTTCCTTAGAGTAGCCGACAAACAGTCTCACTTCTGAACGTTTCTCCAACTTGCCAGCCGCCTGCACTAAGACATGTGCAGGGCAACCCCAAATTCGAATTTGTGAGAAACTAGGCTTGCGCCCTTTCCACAACTCATAAGGAGTACTGTCTACTGATTTTGAAGGAACATAATTCAGAATGTAACATGTTGTCTTTAATGCAAATCCCCAAAATGAATTTGGTACCTTCGAATAACTCATCATCGACCTAACCATTTCCATAAGAGTTCTGTTTCTTCGCTCTGCAACCCCGTTCTGCTGGGGCGTGCCGGGTGCAGTCAGCTGGGATTCAATCCCTGCTTCTGATAGGTATGTCCTAAACTCTCCAAAGAGGTATTCGCCTCCTCGATCAGATCGAAGACACCTGATACTTTTACCTTATTGTTTCTCCACAACTGTCCTATACTCCTTGAATTTTTCAAAGCATTCGGACTTGCGGTGCAACAAGTAAGTGTACCCATATCTAGAATAATCATCAATAAAAGTGACGAAATACTCATAGCCTCCTCTAGCTTGGATCGACATAGGACCACACAAATCAGAATGAATCAATCCTAGCACTTTTTGGCTCTTTCGCCCCTTTGCCGAAAATGGCCTCTTGGTCATCTTACCTTCTAGGCAGGACTCGCATGTCTGGTAATGATCTTCTACTGGACCAAGATGCCCAGTAGATACCAACCTTTGAATCCTCCTAAGGTTGATG